CCCGCCGCAGCCCTCCACACAGCCCGGAGAGGAACAGCTTGAGCCAGAGTTGGGGTTTCTCACTGCCCTCCTCACTCTCACAGACAGCACAAGCTCTACTCCCTGCTCCGGCCGAGCTCCCTGTGTTTGGTTTAACCCACCTGCTCCCCGCAGCCACTTTGCTTTTGGTTCTTCTGGAGGCTGCTCCCCACCCCTCTGCATAGGCCAAGCGTGATGCCAGTTTCGGTGATGCTCTGAGCCCCCAAACCCAGGTTTCTCCCCCAGCCCCTGTCTCCCCAGCATAGGGACTCCCTCCCGTGGCGAGGCTCGGGAACTGCCTCCAGTTCTCAGGGAGGGAGGCAGAAGCTGAAATGCTGCTGCTGTGCCCCAAGAAACCAGTTGGCCTCCAGAACCCAGGCTGGGTTACCCCTTCTAAGAAGTTCAGCTGCAGCCGAATCAGAACTGGGCATCCACCAAGAGCAGCCGGTTTGCTCTAGTCATAACTTGGAGTTTGCTATAAGGAAAAAATGATGTAAAAGAAGCTTCTTAATCTTCCCATGTGTCCCTCTGGATGTGTGAGATTCAAGACTGTACCATTCCCTTCCTCCAGAACCCAGGCTGGGTTACCCCTTCTAAGAAGTTCAGCTGCAGCCGAATCAGAACTGGGCATCCACCAAGAGCAGCCGGTTTGCTCTAGTCATAACTTGGAGTTTGCTATAAGGAAAAAATGATGTAAAAGAAGCTTCTTAATCTTCCCATGTGTCCCTCTGGATGTGTGAGATTCAAGACTGTACCATTCCCTTGCTGGCTGGTTACACATCTGGATGTAGAGTCTGGGACTGGCCGGATGACATGCCCGAGGAGCAAGATGGGCACCACACAGAGGGGCTCTGGGCACGCATGCACCCCCTTTGCATGGCAGACAGGCAGTTGCTGGGCTCAGCTCAGCCCCATTTGGGCAGGCAAGAAGCGCCTTACTGCTATGGGGGCAGTATGGCTAGGACACTATGGCTAGGCTCAAGGAACAGATCACAGAGCAACAGCTCTGGCCCCTCACAGCTTTCCACGCTTGCAGTCACTTCACAGCCCTATGCTGTTGGATTGTGGGTGCCACGGCCTCAGAGGGATCAGAGCTCTCTGCTCCAACATTTACTGCAGGGACTACCTCAGGGTGACATTTACCACCTGCACCAACAGCCTTTGCTTCGTCCACAACGCGTGCTTTCAGCTCTCAAGCTTTATTGCACTCTACATGTGTGATATTCAGAGGCCGCCTGAGAGGCAGCAATCCCCACGGTGCCTCCACCACGCTCTCACTGCAGGATGGAGTCATCGGAGCTCCCAGGCAGTGCCACAGAGCCCACCAGTCTCGCAGGCAGGCTGGGCAGGCAGGAGGAGCGAAGCAGGACACAGGCACGGTGTGCTCTGCTCCGCTGGCTACTCCACAACGTCCCCATACTTGTTCCTCCTCACTGGCGGTGCTGAGCTCTCCCTGTCCTCAGGGCAGGCCAGATTTTCTGCAATAGAAAGAACAAGCCCCTGGACCCCCAAACGATCCTGGCGTGCTTGCCAGGGGCGGGCTGAAAACCACAGAGCCCTAGTGAAGTGTTTAAAGCCTCTTCAGCCAGACCAGCCTTGGGACCTCCAGGCATCAATGAAAGAAAGCAGCAACCACCCAGCAGTGGCTGTCCTGGTGCCCCTCCAGCTCTGCCCACTGTACAGAGCAACCGAGGCGGGAGGGTTTACTGCCTCCCTCCATCCCTCATGTTCTTCTTCCTCTTCCAGCAAACAAACCCTTCACGCTGCATTTCCTGAATCCACAGAGCAGGCAAGGCATCAGGTACAAGTGAGTGTTCCCCCCACACATGGCAGCCCTGCTCAAGTACCTGCAGCGCAGGCAGTGGTCCCGGAGCACAGAGGGATGCGGGAGCCATGAGACCAGGCGGGGAGCTCCGGCCATCCTAGCACTGCCACCACCCCAGGCACCTGCTCCCATCCCTCGGCTTCAGGATGCCAGGGTGGGACTTATAAGGGCATTTTGGCAATGACATAAACAGTCATCAGCTTAATTATGAGACAGAAACAGCAAATTGTTGCAGCAAGGAGTAACCAGACATGACAAGCCCAGAAAAAAACACAGGGAGAGATGTGAATGTACCTGTGGGCTGAGACACCTTACCAGCCACGGCGAGCTCCTGTGGAGTCTTGCCTGTCTCCAGGTAAATCCAGAAGTCAGAGCATTTCTGCGTCTCAGCTCTGGTTACCACGTAGCTGGCGAGGGACCCTGTGGCTGGAGAGACCAAGATGCTCCCGAGAGTGAGGGCATTTGC